GCCACATAAGGGTCACCTGTGACAGTGTGTCTTTCTCGTCCAGCATCCGTTCAACGTCGATATGCACTTCGATGCTGAGCTGATCGCTGGTCTGCATGTAGTGCAATGGTTGGCGATTGTTCATGAACTTCTGGAAACGTTCCCAGCTCGACGCCGCGTTACCCCGAAGCCAGAGATCAACGGGCGAACTGTGGTCTAATGGCTTGTTTTCTTTAAACAGCTGGTACATGGCACTTATCGCCTGAAAGTACGGATACATTGCTGAGAGTACGAGTTCGTCAGCTACTTACCGAACAGTTGCCGTGGCCAAACACGATGATGTCGCGAATACCACCGAGTACGGTGGTCATCTGCAATGCAGCTACAGCCGCAACGGCTGCCTGGTTCACGTCGTTTCCTAAACTATGACAATATCAGACGCCTGAACGATCGAGCGAACGTCATGAACAAAAATTGATCATCGTTACCGCGCATGGCAGGCACCATGTTTGATGGGTTTTTCACCAGGTATAGGTCGCCGACGTCTGACTGCATCAGTTTCCTGTTCAACACACGTCCGTCCATGCAAGATACAACCACTGCCAACGGCTAAATGAAAGTATCTGTCTCATGACCAGCACATATGACATAACTGTCTACTTTACTGATTTGTCGATCATTTTATTGCAATTCGTCTTCTTTAATTAGTGAATTACCTATCTGTTATGGATTCCCCAGAGGTCCCTTTCCTCCATAATTGAAATATCAAAAACATTGTTCCTCTGCAGTTTTTCGCCGTAGGATCAAACTTCATCATTTATTTTCGTACACCTTTAATACGCAGTGGTTTCCCCCTACTGTAAACCCCGGGGAAACTTTTCTTATGCATTACTTATCAAAGACTGAAGGAAAACGTTGACGAGATGTCGCCAAAATAACACACGCAAACGCATGCTATGACAAAATGTTCTCACTTATTCACACAGCAGCGTCGACAATTCCAGTTATTTCTGCTTGTTACTATCAACTGTCTACAGCTAGATGCGATTCTACGCATCGTTCTACACACCGACAACTTTCCACTTTAAAGAAATTTTTGCATGCATGTCTGCCATTACGACGGAACGGGAGCACTATATCTTAGTGACTATATATTGGTTGTAGGATTCGCCGGAGAGATGCGATATTCAGTATCATTTCCGGTTTCCTCTTTCGAAACAGTATGAACCCTGGCAAAGATGAATGTCTTGTTCTAGAGGAAAATCGTACAGTATCTGACAGTATATCTTGCCGACCTGGAGTATGTCAATGATATTTTCCTTGCGAGTAGTGTGAAAGGAGGCTCCTGGCTCGCCACCATATGGCTTCCGTATGCAACACAGTGCGAAAGTTGGTCTCTTCCTTAAAATCCATACGGCCAAACTTATGAAGAACCTGTCGGGCACAACAGATGCGCAAACGGAACAGAAAAGTAACTAAAAAATTATCAGTCGCTGACCATTATTGAAGTAAATGATTGGTTGACTGGCAGGTGAAAAGAAAGGGAGTTTGAACAATTTAATTATCCAGGTTCTGCCATTTTCAGCTACGGCAGCATTCCATCAAAGTTAAGTTACACGATCATTTACGTCCTGGATGCTATTAGTATTCGGTCCAGTACTTGGAATATGAAAACGAAGACCATTCTAGTTCATTTAAAACGAAAATGTTTATCCCTTCCACAGCTTGAGGTTTGCTCATGCTTCTCACAACATAAACCCCACCCCGTCACTGGTCCAGATGGTGTAAAAGTAGTCGTGTTGTTTTGTTCAAACGAGCCATATTCCATCATTGCTTCTGTGCAACCGCAGTCTAAGAGATGGTTGCTTTCAGACAAATGGAGACTCTTCAGAATAGTTCCTGTTCCGAAACATTAACATCCGACAGGGCCCCAAGAGTTTCGTTCCATTCCCAATGACTTTTGCCCACGTTGCTGGAAAAAATGTCGCCACTCCCCTTCCTGAGAGAAAC